CTTTGATACTCACTATAAATTAACTCACTTACTTTGTAATCTGTCTCTGAGTCGTTGTTCCTTTTAAAACTACTGTGACACATCTTCAGTTCATGATAAAAACGTTCTCTAAATGTGCATATTATGTCAAAAAATTATTCATCATTAAATGTGATTTTAACATTACTTTTATAAAGTTTGAAGTCCGTGCTGTCCAATCCAGCTCACTGTTTTTTACAGAAGCCCTGTGAAAGCATCACAGCTTTGCCGATCTCAGAGTGTTAAAAGAAAATAAATTCCTGTATCCGCATCGTGATCCAGAACATCACCAGAATTTAAAGGTGTGTTCCTTGGTCCAGTACCCACATGTGGTAAAAATGTCATGACAATCTGTCCACAAGTTTTTGAGTAATGTTGTCCACAGACAGAACGACAGACAGACAGACATACGCGACCGAAAACATTACCTCGCCCTTGGCAGAGGTAAAAATTCCTGTCCCTGAGCTGTTGGCTTGAAGTAACTGAGTAATTTAGTTGGATAGCACAGTACTAATGTCTGAAAATAAACTGCTTTAAAGTCACCATCAAACATAAACTAAATCTGCCATAATGTAGCTACTCACTAGAAACTCATCAGTGAGTAAAACTTTTTTGTTTTACTTTTAATAATATTTTTGTATTTATTATAGATTTAGTCAGTCATACACTTATTGTTTTTAAACAAGAGGACGTGTTAAAACTCTGTTTAGTCAAAGTTAAACATGAAACATCAAAGTTTATTACAAGTGGCCCTTCGAGGGCCACCATAACTCTCATGTGGCCCTCGGTGAAAAAGAGTTTGACCCCCCTGAACTACACCCAATAAGCATTTTGGAGACTGAGTGGTAAACATGCCCCTGTCCCAGCTTCTTTATAACATGTTGCAGGCATCAAATTAAAAAAAAAAGGTTTATTCGTTTGAACAACATAAATCTGTCTTTGTGGTATATGCAGTCAAATGCAGGTTGAAAATGATTGTATTCTGTTTTTTATTTAGGTTTTACCCARTGTCCCAACCTCTTTGAAATTGGGGTTGTAAAAGCAAAGCATAAACTCTAATTATTTAACTTGTTACCCCACACCACCCCTACCCTAAGACCAGAAACTCTGGGTAAATGCTGCAACGCTACACTCTCATTCACTCTTGCCACCAGACACACATACTGAAGCTAAAGGACAGTCACTCAGAGTCGACTATAATATGCTATCATTGTGTTCATCAAACCCACACAGAGAAAGCAGTGTACCCTGAGGCACACACTCACAAACACACAAAATGTACAGAAATAAAAAGGCTGAACACTGAACTCAGAGTACAGAACACAGCCCTGATTAAAACACAACATGGAGGCTTGCACCTGATGAGCTCACATGACCAACAAACGCCTCAGCTTGACTGGTTTTTTTGAGTTCGTTATTTCAACAAGGTGGAAAAAAGGGAGCCTGGCTCCAGCTGCCTGAGCCCTTTCAKCTGGATGAAACTTTCCACCTTTAGGATCTCTGGCTTTATCTTTTCCTTGCTTTTAAGCCTTTCCTGGAAAGTTTTGACTGACCTGGCATTTATGTTTAACAAAATGAGAAATTGAAATATAATTAAATGAAGTTGTCAGAGTTAAAAAGTTAAAGCTAATGTTTGCAGTGTCACAAATGCAGTTCTATTTGAGCCAAAGAGTGTTTACCTGGACCTGAATAGGGTTCCACACCTGTAAGCTCCACATGTGAGGATGTGGATAGCATCATCCAAACACCTGTCGGATAGTTTCTTCATTAGACAAAAAGAGATAAAACGTATAGCAGTGAGTTGGTAGGGAGAAAGAACAGYAAAAAGTGTTGATTTGTTTGTGTATACACAGTTGTGAAAGGAGTTTGTTGTCCAGTTGTGGTTTGTGTGYATGAGACAGTGAGTTTTCTCACACTTCTGCAACTCTTACCTCTGAATGGAGTTGGTGGAAGTGGGAGGAGCTTGACTGCAGACACAAGCTCCTTTTTTTCACAATGTGGAGGAGTACTCTGAATTCAACCTGTGTTTGAACTTTGTAATGTCTCTAAGGGGGAGTACTCTGAGTAAAAACTGTGTTTTTATTCTCTTATCTCCTCCAGGTTGAGAAGTATTTTGAATTGAAGCAATGATTTTTGCTGTCCTTTAGGCGGAGGAGTAGTTTGAGTTAAAGCTGCGTTTTTACTGTCTAGTGATCCCAAAATACAGACTATAAGCCGCACCCGCCATTTTTAAAAAAAAACCCGCGAACATTAACATATAAGCCGCACCGGACTATAAGCCCACCCCCAACATAAAAAATTTTTTTGGTAGCCTTCAACTTAAAAGCGGCATCATAGGAAGATCTTCTATTCTTTTCCATGATGAGCGCATTTGAATTTGAAGAGAAATATTTTGTCGTGTCTGTCGTRGATTAATCCGTTGTGTCGTGTCTGCTACTAGCTAAAACAAAATGGCGCTTTCTTCTTCTTCCTTTTATTTGCGGCAACAACACCTCCGGCTAAAGAGCCCCCTGGTGGCTGAAGAAAAAATCTACATATAAGCCGCACCGGACTATAAACCGCATGGTACAAAGTTCAGGAAAAAAGTCGCGGCTTATAGTCCGAAAAATGCGGTAAATGAGGAAGACTGGATGGGTGAATAAGAATAATTTTAAAGTGTTTTCAGAACTTTGAGACGTGGAAAAGGTTTTGTATAAGCTGGGCAAAATATGCCTTTAACTTCTTCACAGATATAAAATAAGACTTGTTGCTTCAAAGCTCTGCTGTTTCTTCTAATATACATATTTTCTCCTTATTGTGGTCTCATCTCAAATAACAATTTTAAATCTTTGATGTTTTTTTTTTGCCTTTTTTGGTGTTACCCCTTTTGTCTTTTTTAAGCAGGAAATAAATGYAGAGAAATTCCTTCAAATCCCACTCATTTCACACTTCCTTTCTTCCCATTTCTATTGTTTACAGGTAGTTTTCCTCTAATCTTTACTAACACTGGCCGTTCAGGCCTTTTCATCATTGCATGTCTGTGTAGGTTCCACAAACCCCAACGAACAGGTGGTTAGTTAGTCATGCTAACATGTTAAATCATGCATTATTAACACGAGGCTAAGATAGTGTAACAGCAGCAGAATAACAGATTACAGGRAGCAAGGCGACTCAAAAAGAGCAGGCGGGGGTAGGGGCTGAAACAAGGCCAGGGTTGGGTGTAGCTTTTGTTCTAAGAGGTTGTGGCAGCATAAAATTGACCCCAGTCTCTACTTGACCAGTAAACCATTTCAGACTTTACCCAAATATCAGTCGTCTTCCCTTTTGAATAGTTTGTTTGTGTGCTGAGCAGCCACAGAAGTACCAGGTCTTCTCCACCCCCACCTGTAGGTCTCTGTTTGGAGTCAAACCTTCACCTGTTCAGGCTGCTTGTTCTGCTGTCTAAGCCTGGGAGTGGGACTCTCTTCTGATTATTCAAATGATAAAAAACAAGGTGTCAGCTTGGAAAAGTAACTTTTTTATTATTTACCTTTAAAGGGATCCATGTTTATTTGAAACATTTGACTTTATTTAATAAAAATATATTTTAACTGTAAAATAAAGACTGTAAAAATACTGTAGGTTGTTTAGTTTTTATAATTTTTAAACTAAAAATTTGAAAATATCTTTTAACACAGATGGGGCCATTTTATTTCTACACAAAGCATTCTGGGTAAATGATGACGTGGATAGGTCCTCGGTGCGAGGCTGCTAGCGAGCTATATCCACCCTGAAGGTTAATCTTGGACAATATCTGATGATCGACTCTTTTAAATGAAACCAGAGAGCGTTGACAGAGAGGAGAAGGTAGAAATGACTCAGCCTGGAACTGAAAATATGGATGGAGGACAACAGAGCTGCTTCATGGAAGAACAACCTCAGATTAGCCTGTTAGCTTTAGCATTAGCCCCGATGCTATCACCATATATATGTATTAGCTCAGCACTACACATTCTCCTCTCATCACTGAGGTCCTCCATCCACATGACAGAGAGGGGAACACAAAAATGACTCAGCTGTAACTGAAAATATGGATGGAGGACCTCAGTTTAGCTTGTTTGTCGCGCTAGCACCGAGCTAATACATATAAGGCAATATATCGTGAGGGCTAGCGCAAAGGCTAACAGGCTAAGCTGAGGTTSTTCTTCCATGAAGCAGCTCTGTTGTCCTCCATCCATATTTTCAGTTCCAGGCTGAGTCATTTCTACCTTCTCCTCTCTGTCAACGCTCTCTGGTTTCATTTAAAAGAGTCGATCATCAGATATTGTCCAAGATTAACCTTCAGGGTGGATATAGCTCGCTAGCAGCCTCGCACCGAGGACCTATCCACGTCATCATTTACCCAGAATGCTTTGTGTGCAAATAAATTGGCTCCGTCCATGTTAAAATATATATTTAAAATTTCACAGAACTAAACATCCTACAGTATTTTTACAGTCTTTATTTTACAGTTAAAATACATGTTTATTAAATAAAGTCCAATGTTAAAACTAATCATGGATCCCATTAAAAGTTTTCTTACAACAGGGACTGCGGCAGCTCGGTGGTCAGTGCTGTGGTCTTTTAATCCTGAAGTTGCAGGTTTGAGCCCAGGCTGAGTCAGAAGGGGCATTAGGCAAATCTTTTCTAACATTAATTATCATAAAACACTAATTATCTCTGATGAAAAACAATCACAGGAAGCTAAATGAGGTGCTGCATCACTCATCTTACTGACTCATAACCCAGTTTCACCAACAAACAAAACCAAATCAAACCTCCTCCTCTGGGCTCCACACAATGTTAGACAACCTAGATAACATTCTCATGCCTTGTCCCCTTCCTCATCTCCTCCACCCTTCTCACCCATCCTCCTTTGTTTACCACATCCACTTCCAGGACAGGAAATTCTTCAAAGGATTCTTTTCTAAAGTAAGTTATTGCTTTTGTGTATCTGAGTGTTTTTCTTGCATATTAGCATTTATTTCCCCTCTGTCACACTTCACTCTGTGATCACATCTAAGGCCTGGAAGAAACACACATACACACTCATACAGATGTGTTCAGTGTGTCTGACGTGAGACACAGTGTGTGTGTGTGTGAGTGTGTGTGTGTGTGAGCGAGCTGGTGGGGTGCTTTAGGTTGGAACAGGGCATATTTAATATCTGTGTGGTTTTATTGTAACGGGTGTGCCTTCTCTCCTTCCAGCCCTGCTCCTGAACCAAGAATGAACAATTAGTGTGAATGAATAATTCCTTTTTCATTGCTGTTATTCTAACTAATGGGGTTCATCACTTCCTGCTGCGTCAGTGCACCACTTCTCACACCATCCCTTTAGTTTGGACTGAATTCAAATATTCCTCTTCCTGTGAGGCGCAGGCCTCAAAACAATAACCTCTGACTCGTTTTAGTCTTTTATGAGCTGCTGTCTCTTTATTTACAGGTGTGTGTGTGTGTGCGTGCGTGCGTGCGTGCGTGCGTGTGTGTGCGTGCGTGCGTGTTTAAAGAGATATTTATAAGTAGATGCCAAGGAATTATTTAAAAGCATTTAGGTAACGCTGCTGGTATTGTTTTATAGTTTAACTTGCTGTTTTGTTGTGTTTGTGTGTTTGCAGGCTGGGAAGAAACCAGTGCGAGCTGTGTTGTGGGTGTCTGCAGATGGTCTTCGTGTTGTAGACGACAAAACAAAGGTATAACAATTCCTTCAATCTTTCCATTGACCATGAAAATGCGTAAATTAGAATTTCGAAAATAAATTTGCTCAATGGAAACACGTCAGTTTTGGAAAAAAAAAACGCATTTCGACAAAATGTTTTTGCAGTAGGATGAGGTGGTTTTTTAGCCGTATAGAAATTGATGTTTTTCACAAAACTGCAATGGAAACACTTTTTTCACATCACAGGAGTCACGTGATCAACAACCGTCTGTTTCTACTGGTGAAAAAGACGATGATGAAGAAGATAACAG